GAGGGGAGAGGGAAGGGCGGTTGGTCGGACCGTTGGCCCGAGGGGGCAGGCAGTTGGTCACAGGCTCTCCTAGGTTTGGGGGACAGAGAAACATGCCTTGCCCTCAAAGGGCAGCAGTGACTGCCCACAGCCAGGGTGAGGTGTTACTCCGGAGTAGAGCAGGGTTCCTGAAAGCATTTATGTTTCTGCTGTAGTTCTGTAGTTACCTCAGAAAAAGGGTGGATTGATTTTTCTGTGTGTTTAAATCGTAATTTGGAGCTGTGTTTCTGCCTTGGTTCCTGTCTGACGTGCTCGGTGGGAAATGACCCCAGCAGCCTGCGTTTCTGCATGTTGTATCTTGCCTTGGCTGCAAAACGTGAAATGTGCTTAATGGCCTCGGGTGATAGAGGATTTACATACTTTTCTTACCTAAAGATGCTATAGGGGTTGCAGAATCAGGAGAAAGTCGCTCCTTGTTAAAGTGAAAAGACTGGGGCTCTAAAACTTCTTATCTGCTTAACCTTTGTTTTCAAGGCCGTTTCTGCATCGTTCCCTCGCATACTAACACCGAACAGGCTCACCAAAGCATAACGTGTTGGTTTCGAGATTGATTTTGATGGTGACCTCGTTCTATGTCTCCTTGTTTTTTCATTAGGAAATTAGTCACGATACTAAGAAATTCCGGTTTGGGCTACCTTCATCGGATAATGTATTAGGATTGCCTGTAGGTAAATACTGAAACATGTCTCTACTTTTATTGGTGATTTTAGGATTTATTACCTCTTTTCGTAGCTCTAGGTCTTCTAATTTTCTTTCCAAAGAAGATGGGAATTTAGTGCTCAGCAAAGAAAGGAGTTAAAAACTTGTGTGTCAGCAAGACATGTTAGCTTTCCTTGTGGGGTCATGTTTCTTACCTTTTGTGTGCACTTTATTATTGTGCTAAGTAGTATAGTATAGTTTTAGAATGAGAATAGTGAAACTGAACTGGGACCTGAATTACCTATTAGATAGGTAATAGATTACCTACAGGATGGGATCTGTCTGGGTTTTTAATGCTTCTTATTTGCATTCTATTTTTTTGTATCTGGTGCCCTCAATTGGGTTTGTACTTTATCTACAGTAATTATAATAGCTAGCTAGCAGACGCTTACAGTAGTATAGCTGTAATACAAAGGAGACCTGAGGAGGTTGCCCAAAACGTACTCTTACGGATTGTCCTTGCTGCTCCCATGGTGCTGGCAGTGCTCAGAGTAGCTGGTTGGATGCTGGTCATGGATATATTATTGTCAGCTGTACTCGAGCTTTTAACTAATACAGTTGCACCCTTAGATGAGAAAGAGCAACTCTTCTGCCTTAGAAGCTTGTAAATAATGTATGCAGAGCAATGGGGAAAATATGATTACTCTACGTAAAAGATGCTGCAATGTTCAGAGCATTTTCTATGCATGCATTTACCTTTGTTTTATATAAATGGTTCCAACTTTGGCTTGCTTTCTTTAGCATAAAGTTCATTTCAGACTAGAATTGACACAGTTTTTTTTCCTATACCCTGCAAAACTGACAGCACTGAGCCTTGGACCTTAAATTAACAGTAATCTATGTAGGGGCAAGTCCCCCTTCTTGATCTGCAAACATGGCAGATAACGTAGGCCTGTTTATGCTGTGTTGTGCTTGGCAGCTTTCTTGCAAGCGTCCAGGTCTTCCCGTTTCCAAGCTGTGAGCACTTCCTTCTGGCATGCTGCCTGTCAAGGGCAGCTGTCTTTCTTAAGACTCTCTTCTGGCTTGTATGGGGAAGTGTAATTGGACTGTCTATGTAACTAGACAAATGGTAAATGAATATGAGAAGTGCTCCACAGTACTTGTTTGCACTTGTCCCAAGTTTTTTCTTAAGAATGTAGGAGTAAGATCCTGAAAGTTTACGCATGCTAGATTGCTCTTTGGGGATTCTAGCCTTCTGTTCTTTACTTGGATCATTTTGCTAAAAAATAAAGTGTTTTCTGATGGCATTGTTCCTGCTTTTTGTTTTTACATACAACCTCATATAGATTAATGCCGTTTGGCTGAAGAGAATGCTTTTAGCAAGGTGTTTTAAGTCCCTTACTCATCAGAAGTAAACAGGTACCTTTAGAAACTGCATTAGGTTGGTGAATTTGATGCTTTGCAGGCAGCAGTGATGCCACTTCAGTGCTGCTGTGGAAGCAGCAGCTGTTAGGTCATGTTCTTGCAGTTACAGAGATAGGAGTTGTGGAGGAGTGCAGGCCAAAGGCTTCATTCATGATGTCTTGGTGCAGAGTCTTTGCGAAAGTTTGCTTTGAGAGATTGCTGCTGTTAGACCATAATACTTACTTTACTCTTTTTATACGTGAATTGGAGCATCCTTACTTTCACTTTGTTAATGTACATGTGACGAGTAGAGCTCAAAGTCTAGACTGTGCTTGTGAATGAGCAACAAACTTTATTTTATTATAAACTTCCTACTTTCTAGTGTCTTATCCTTGGTTCTGTAACATACTGGTTCTCCTCTGTTATCCCATGCTCCAGAAATTGGACTGTTTCTGAAAGAAGAACAAGAGCTGTGCTGACACTTACCAGTCTGGGTAGCAGCACTAATCCAAATCCTACATTTTCATTAGTTAAATACCAAATCTATTTATGGAATAGAAAATCCTACAAAGTAGGTGCTGTAAGGATGTTGTATGGTTGAGTTTCCAGAAAGTAACTTTGATTATAAAAACCATATGTTTACACCAGAGAAAACACGAGGAAGTTAATTAGTAAAATTTTGTCCCCTCAGCTGACTAGCTGTTTAAACTGGAAAAAAGCTATAGAAGTTATAGTTATTAAATAAATTATTTTTTCAATAGTACGTATCTGGTGTTAATAGGTAATACAAAGTAAAGTAACGTGAAACAGTATCTGTTGGGGAAAGCCAAACTTACCATGCCAGACAAAAATTTTTTCATTATCTATAGCAGCCTTTGGATGACACCTAATATCTCTTTGGGACAGAAATAAGGAAGATTTACCACATAGTTTGGCAATTTGTTGTGACTGTAGAGAAGAATTGGCTCTTTGGCTCTTATTTGAAGGAGGAGTGTGTACACGTGCATGCATGATGTATACTGTGATGATAACATGCTATGAAAATCATGAATTGTGCAGCTATTTCTAGAAACTTCTTTCTAGATTCAGACTCTAGGTAAAAGTAACAGAACAGAGGATTGATACAACTTGTATACTGTAAAGATTTTTTTCTATCACTGCTTGTATTTAAGCTGTTAAAATATCTGCTCTTCTATCTTGTGTTATCCTCTAGGTCTGAAAAAAAGTTTGAAATCAGGGCATGAAAAATAGATAATCAGTTTTTAATTCTTTCTCCCTAGGCCAACATGTTTACCTTTCTGCAAAAATCGATGGTAATCTGGTGATCCGAGCCTATACTCCAGTTTCCAGTGATGAGACAAAAGGTTATGTTGATTTAATTATAAAGGTAAATTTTGGTTTTCTTTAATATAGATAAATTGCTAAGTGGATATAATGACTGTACAAAGGTATAAAATTCTTTTTGCCCAAGAAGGGAAGTATTTTGTTTCAGTGAAATGTAGAGTTTATTTTGACTGATCTTCTTTCACATACGATGACTTCATGGCATGCAACTTGTTTCGCATTATCCTTGAAAAATAAATTGTGTCTTGTAAAATCTGCTGCATGTCACAAAGAGGTAGCTGAGGTAGGGAAATGAAGAAAGGAATCATTCCTTTGGCAATACTGCAGAAACTTTTCTAGTGTTTTTCTGGCAACAAATGAACAGCGATGACTCTTCCCTCAATCTATGTATCCTGCTACTAATACTAGTCGCTAATACGTAGCTGTAAGTGGAAAATGGATCAGTAAGACCTGCTACCTTCGCTAACTCTAGAGAGGTATGTCTGTAAGCTTCAGAAGTTCTGCTAATGGGTTTATTGATAATTGATGGTGGGATATAAATTAATGGGTTTATTGATAGTAAGCTGCCATAACTATATATTCTGGGATATAGAAATGGGAAATCTTTTAAGCTAGAGAATGCAGGATGATCTGATCCCAGGACTTAATGGATTTGCTAATCCTTTTGTAAGACTGAGTTTGTCCTTAGGCTTTTTTTCCCCTTCTATATGTTTGTTTGTTTGGTTGGTTTTTGTGTGTTCTCTGCTCCTCATGTTACAGGTATTGTAAATTGCTGTTAACTACTTAATAATATGCTTTGAAATATGAAAAAGATATCAGATGGCTAGAGCCTCTGGGAAAGTCATAAAAAAAAAAAGATGCAGCAGTGCCATTTTCAGAAGGAGAGATTACAAAAATGGGGTAACACAAGGTTATTACTGGAAGAATAGTGAAATGAGGGCATCGTACATAATCTGCCTCCCACCTATTTCTTTCTATTAGGCTGGCTTTTAGCGGAGGGCACAGAAACATGTATGTGAGAGAGCATTTTACTTATTTCAGCTATTTTCTGTTGCAAGGCACAAACAAACAACAGAGTGAAGAATCATTTCAATCCCAAATTTCAGACTTGCAATGTATTATTCTTCAGTTTGTAGTATTGCCTACAGGAAAGGTAAGAGATGACATCATAGAAAAACAATTATTTTCACAGGTCTACTACAAAAATGTGAATCCCAAGTTCCCAGAAGGTGGAAAGATGTCCCAGTACTTAGACAACATGAAGATTGGGGATGTTATTGACTTCAGAGGGCCAAATGGGCTGCTTGTCTATAAAGGGGCAGGTACTGTGATGTAAATGCAGAAGGTGGGAGAGCAAAGGGGAGGAACTTGTACTGGTTATTTTCAGAGGTGTTTTTTAAACTTTGACAACTTTGTAGCCAATTTTTTTGAACAAAATGGAAAAGAGAAAATCCACATCTCCTGAACTTGACCTATTCTTGCCTGTGTAATTACATCTGGATAACCTGCTGTTGCAGGAGACTGTGGAGAAGTAACTCAGGATCACTGAGGAGACTGTGTTGGAAGTAACTCAGATAAATATACATGGAGAAAGAGATGTTCTAGATGCTCCTTAAGCTAGGGAGATTGTGGCCTAAAATGCCCTTCTGGGAATCTCAGCCTTGTTATTGACTAACCTGCTGACTGTGAGCCAGCTCTATTTCATTATTAAATCAGGTTTGAGCTGTCTGGGAGGAAATTATGTTTGGAGAAATAATCCTCTTTCAAGATACATGTAACAGACCAAAAGATTTTCCATTGATCTTAAGAAGGATTTTGCACTTAAAGTTCCTACTTCAGGGGTTAAGTGCTCAGCACTTTTTTGAATTGAGAGCCTTTATGATGAATAATACACTGAATCCATTATATGTCAGAGGAAACCAATGATCCATATTTTACAGATACTCCTTTACAGCTTTGGTTGCTGTAAAAAGTAGTAGCTAGCAAAGCTTGTATTAGTAACAGGTCTCTTAAAACATTACTGGATGTGTCAAATGCTTTTAATGTAGGATAAAGTATGCAGGGCTCCAACATATCTGATTCTAATCTTTTTAGGTGTTCTTACTTGATGCTGATTTAATACAAATCTGTTGAATGTGGACACGTATAAATGGCTAGATCCCTGGCACAAACGAGGACCATGAAGATGGTCTAAGAAACCTACCTCTGTGCAGGAGCAGTGGCAGCCATGGCACTAATGTTCAGAGTTGCTGAGTGGCATTCTAAGCAATGATGTGGGAATCCTTGAGTCTGTTAAAATGATGCTGGGTAGCAGGGAAAAAGTAAGTTGGTTGTTCAGAGCTAGGATTGGAGTAATCAGAGACATAAAGTGGTTTCTACCCTTTGCACTTAATGCTGTACTGAGCACATTCAACATTTCCAGAAGATCTATCCTAATTATGTAATTAATAGGCTATAGTATTTTATTCCCATGGAAGCTTTCCAATTTTTTAAATTTTTCTTCGGGAGTTTATTTACTTACAGGCTTTGAATATTTCTTCCAGGTACATTTTTTATCAAGCCTGATAAGAAGTCTGCAGCACAGAAGAAGTTTGCAAAGCATCTTGGGATGATAGCTGGAGGAACAGGTGAAACTATTCTCATAATTTGGAGGGTGACTCAGAGAATGAAAAGGTCTTCATAGATGCTTGTGAGGAACATCAAAAACTCTATAGTGTGATAGCAGAGTGCTTTCGTGGTCACAGTGTAAGCTATTCGCTAGCACTGCTTGCACTGCTGCATGGATTTGATGCTTGAGTCAAACTCATGTTACTTAAGGGCTGACTGTCCAGTGCATTTCCTCCCTCTTTAATTCTGAGATATTCAGAATTCAGCCTCTCTTTATTTTCACAAATGTTTGGTGATATTGGGGCATTCTGATGGCTTGAGCTCAGTGTTGGGAGGTAGTACAGGGTTTTTAGTCTTGATTTACACTTCACCTCTCTAAGCTTCAGTCTTAATGATAAAAAAATTTAGGAGTATGTTTTGAGGTTACTATATGTGAAAAAGAATGCTGAAGAGGGAAGCCCCAAAATACAAGCATT